GCCGCAGTCACACCCTCCTCTAAAATTAATTCCAAATAAGACAATAAAATTTTAATTTGAAAATCGCTGGACTTCGTTTGTCGAACTCACCGCCGTGAACAAGCAACGTGACGTTCTCAGCGAGGGTCTGTTGCGCCACCCTTAATTCCGGCTTCCGTACATGCTCCTGCATGATTCGTTTGATCTGACGAGTGGGGAGGAACGTGAAGAAATGAAGTAGGTTCTCTACTTCAGCATCTTCCGCTCTAATGAAGTACTGGTACAGTTGGAAACTGGAAGATTTCTGGGCGGAGAGCCAGACCGCGTTCCCCGTTGATTTACTGAATTTCTTCCCACCCTCAGCTGTGATCAGCGGCAGTGTCAATCCGTAAACCTGATTCTTTGTATACCTAGTGATCAAATCGTAGCCAGACACGATGTTACCCATCTGATCCTGGCCTCCGACTTGGAAATTGCAACCGAAATTACGGTGCAGGTGAAGCCAGTCGTATCCTTGGAAGAGCGGATACATAAATTCTGTGAGGCTCATTCCACTGTCGGATTGCAATCGAGCTTGAACAGAGGCTCTCCCAAGCATAGTCCCCATACGAAAATATCTGCCAAACTGGTTAATAAAAGCCAACAGATTCGCGTCTTTGTACCATTCCAAATTATTCAGAATTTTTATAGGAGTCAAACGATTAGGGTGTTTGCAAAAGTAGATTTCATGGTTCCTAATAACTTGCTCAATGTCTCTTCTAATGGAATACAAGTTGTCTTGCAGCACGACTTGCTCGATTTCGACGCGTTCTACTTTCCTGTAGCTGGGGTCACCGATTAATCCTGTCGCACCACCTAACAGGACGATCGCCTGATGGCCACATCGTTGCCAGTGCAACAGATTGATGAGAATTAACAAATTGCCGATGTGCAAACTGTCTGCGGTCGGGTCGAATCCTGCATACACGACCTGAGGCGGGCTTCTCCATAACTTGTTCACGTCGTGCCTGATGATTTTATATGAGAGATCCCACGGTTAACGTCTAGGTGTCGAAAGTAAATCAGAATATGTAAAACAATAATGCTTACTCGCAAATAGAGGGGAAGATATCTTCGTACAATTGCCTATTCTCTACGTCGAACACGAATTTCGTAGAGTGCAATCGGCGGCTGTTGAGATACCGGAACGAACGTAATCTAAATACGTTGTTCATTTTCAATCGACTTAACTTGAATGAAACTCGCAACTTAATTCTAACGATTTATTTGATCATTATTGCTAGAATCCTTGTTTTATTTAAAGCCACGAGAAAACACTGTAGAACATAACCGCAATTGTAACTTCCTTATGCGAACCGTCAGATGGGGATGTTACGACCGAACTTGTGGCAAATGTTGGTAATGCAAATCGTTACTGACAGAGTGATGAACCACAAGTGTTTCCGTTTCCGTTTGAGATCTGAGGCTTGAGAGACTTTTAAAGGGACCTCCTAATATTAAATATATGTATAATTATAAATTATATAGAACACACCTGTGATATGTAGAAACGACGAATGAAGTGAAAAATGGTAACGTTTTGAGTTAAACATTAAACTGAGCACAAGTACGAAGATAGTGTCGCGTTATTTAATCCGTGTGGACTATTGGTCCTTATATTACAAATTCGAAATACTGTGCAGATAGATTTGTGTTCAGTTTATTGAAGATTATTTCTTTTCAAATTAATTGTTTAAATTGAGGAGATTGAGAGGGAAGTATATACAGTAATTATATAAGTATTGTATAATTATTTTTTTATATAAATTGTATAATTATATCAGAGGAAAAGTTAAAATAATAATCAATTATATTCGGAGTTGATGTATTATTAACTAACTGATCATATGTATAAGTAAAGATATCATATAACAAAATATAATCGTAAGACAGGAGGCAATAAAGTTTAAAACAACAGAAGACGGAAAAAGGAAGAACAACAAAACGTCAGGTTTTATTCCAAGAGGACTCTTCTTCTACAGAATAGAATATGAGTTATTTCTTTATGTATTTTAGTATTAAGTAGAGTTTAAATTTAGAATCTATAATAAAATCTCATTTTTTGTTTGTGTTTAAATTACTTTATAACCCCATTAATGTAGGATTATATAATCACATTACTTCTTATGGGAAAGGTTGGTTTGGTATATATCCTACTCGGTATGAGTCCAAACATCAGGAATGGATTGAGGTCGTATTTTATTGTAAAATAGTTTGTTTTACAATTTTTTGGGTCTCTGAGTTAAGTTGATATAATCATACCTTCTTGTTTGATTATCAAACATGGATATTTGGATTTGCATTTAGTTACGACGAGATGATTGAACGATGTTAAACTAAAAGAGACTTACTGGAGTTCTCGTTTAGAAAGAATTCAGGAATTTACGACGATAATTCTGTTAATTTCGCAACGATAGTAAAAACAATAAACTTATTTTAGAGAGGAACGCAGTAGCTTTTTACGATACGCTATACGTGTCTCTATAATAATGGGGAAACAAGTGGGAAGGCTTAATGGATGGTGTGGCACCGTCACGGGTTTTCCGCAATTTTTCTCCTTCATGCTGCTCGTTTAAATAATTATTAGACAGCTCCACGGGCACGTAAGGACTTTCTACCGTCAAAAGTAAAAATCCTGTTAAACCGACGATTTTATCTTCGAGGAAACGAGTAAATTCCTCTTCCCTAGTTTTAGTTAAAAGACGTATGCTACTTCCGTTATTGATTAAAATTAATTAATATAGAGAATAATAGAATTAATTAAACGGTTCTTCGGATATATAATTTTCTATTATCAAAAATAAAATTCCTGTTAAACCGACGATTTTACGTTTGAGAAATTACGACTTTCCTTTTCCCTCGTTTTCATGAAATAGGCAATTTCTAAGACCTAAGAAGTACGACGCTATTTCTTTTATTGATTTGAAGTATTTAATAGAGCTAAGGACATAGAAAAATCGAGTTCCCTTTTTATAGCTTATGCACTGTCCATTAAAGGACAAATAGATCCTCGCTAACCTCAAAAGAGATAATTAATTTCTGATACATGGTATCAACCTACGATCCTACTTTCATTATTGATTAAAGCTAATTAATAGAGCAGAAGACATAGAAAAATCGAGTTCCCTTTGCGAAGAGTAACGAGTAACGGTGATTGCACGGTCCATTAAAGGACAAATAGATCCTCGCCGATTGCCTCAGCTGACGTAACGATTGCGTGACCGTTCCAGCCGGCGGAACTGAAGCCTGCTTTAGCCTCTCGATCTTCTTGCGCGTTTCGTTTTCACGCACGCAATTTCTGGATTCCCTGACCGATTAATTAAATTGCGAACGGTTGTCAGTGCATGGCGAGCGATCAAAGACGAGCCACCGCTACCTAGTTACTTTAATAAATGGATTCCTCTTGGTCTAGATCGATACAATTTAATTGATATTAATTGCTTCTCCGTGGGAATCAACTTCTCGTCTGGTTTGATCGATTTCTTTATAACCAATCCCTATTGCTCAACAACTTCATCCACTGTTACTCATAAAGATATGCTGCTATTACAGTAAACCCTCGGTTCAACAGACTTCGGATTTAAGATTATATAAGCCATAAGATCTCTGCTAAAAATTGAAGACATGTAATGAAAAGCTGTGTCCAGTATTTGAAGCAATGAGCTTTTAGAAAATTACAGAAGGGTAAGGTTTATAAAATTGTTCGACCTGTTTTTCTCAGTCACAAGGAATTTTTAATGGATAATATCTAATAT